CTCTGCCTACTTGTTATCTGTCAAATAAATAATAAAAAGAAAATCTTAAAAAAATAAAATAAAATGAGCTTTGCCACCTGCTCGTGTTGGGACATTGGGCAGGTTATATGCCCCTTGGCTCTTCAGTGGAAAAATAGAAATAATGATGTCTCCTGCACAAAGTTGTAAAATCAAATGATAAAACATAAGTGAAAGTGTTTTTAAGTTGTGCAGTGTTGTGTACAGGCAGCTATCAGTGGTCTTTCTGAAGGAACTCTGAAATAGAGGGAAACACTATTGTATTGTATTTAATAGTATGATTAAAGGCTTTGGGGCACCTGGCTTGCTCAGTTGGTTAAGCATCTGACTCTTGATTAGAGCTCAGACATGGTCTCAAGGTTGTGGAATCAATCCCCATGTTGGGCTTTGTGCTCAGCGGGGCATCTTGCTGGAGGTTCTCTCCCTCTGCCTTACCAAACCCCTCAAATAAATAAGTCTAAAAAAAGAAAAAGTACAGACTTTATAGTCAACTGACCTGGGTTTAACATTCAACTCTGCTACTTGGAGCCACCTTTTTGGCAGGTGTCTTGTTCTTTAAAACAGAGAATTCTTCACAGAGTCAGTACACAGAGTCAGTACAAGGATTAAGTAACCTAATTACGTACTTATGCAGTGTGTGAGTGTAGTAAATATTCAATAAATAAATAGTTTGTCATTTATTGATGACAGTTGTGATGGTGATAAGAAATCAGATTTGAAATCACTAATCAGATTCTGGCTCAGTGTTTTTTTTTTTTTTTTTTTTTTTTTTTTTTTTTTTTAAAGATTTTATTTATTTATTTGACAGACAGAGATCACAAGTAGACAGAGAGGCAGGCAGAGAGAGAGAGGGAAGCAGGCTCCCCGCTGAGCAGAGCGCCCGATGTGGGGCTCGATCCCATGACCCTGAGATCACGACCTGAGCCGAAGGCAGCGGCTTAACCCACTGAGCCACCCAGGCGCCCCTGGCTCAGTGTTTCTTAAACGAAGGAGAATACAGCTGTGGGAACACAGGGAAATAATAAATTTCAGTCTGTGTACCTTGATCCTCTAAAATCAATTGCCCCAAGCTTTATTTTTTGTTACAGCCCTCAGAGAAGTGACTGTCTCTGTCCCTGCTCTAAATCAAGTGGCATTATGTCATCTCTCTGGGAATGCTTGTTTATGAGACCCTTCCTACTTCCTGAGTGCCCCTAGGGAAATTTGATTAAAAGATTGAAAGTGGGTGATTATTTTAAGCTTTGCCATGTCTTGTTTATGACCATAAGCTGGTACTTCTGAGGCTGTAAAGGGAGACAAACAAGATGAAAAATAAAACAATTTCTCACTTCTCTTCATTTTAACAACAGCACAACTAAAGATTTAGTAAAAACAACATGTGCTTGTAAAAGAAGTGTCTCCAGTCCTGCCATGCCTGTTCCCTCCTGAGCCACACTGGGCAAGTCCCTTTCGAAGCATGTAGCATTTTCCCTGCCCAAGTGAGGAACCCTTTTCCTACCATAATGGCTCTCAGCAAAATCACTTATGGTGTTAATTCCCAATCCTTCAGGAATCTTTAAATAATTCCTTCAACTTGAGCCTCACGGGAAAGACCCAATACATTGTACTGGCATATCAGCCTGAAATTGCCTGTGGCGTCATGCCAACATCTAGGACAGCTGCTCTGTTATTAGACATAGCAACAGACTTTAGCACTATGGAGATCATGAACAAATCATACTAGCATCCGGTATGAATTCTGTATTTCATTTCTTCAGAGAAGCCATTTGTCTCTGCAGTTATTGCTCTAAAATCAGTGCTCAGTCCTGCCTTCCAAAAACTCATACCCCAGCTGTTGGCTTTAAGAGAAGGAATCTTGAAAGGCTTGAGTTTTTGACAGTCAAGTTAAGGGTATCCTTAATTTAGCAGAAGGTCCTGCAAAAGGGTGCCAGGGGATTCCCACCGTAATGCTCAGGTTACCCCTTTTGAAATAAAGCACCACGGATGGCATAACTTCAGTTGAAGGTCAGACAGTAAGGATCCTTAACCTCTATTCTGCACTGACTTCTCAGATGATGCAGGTGCTTGGAAAATAGTTATGGGGATGCCACAGGAAAGGGATCTCCCCCCTCAGCATTGGGGTTCATAAGCAGTGTGTCTAGTTTAGAGAACTGCCCCTTCTGGGCTTCAATGAGGAAAGGAAAATGTTCCAACTAGTGGTCCAAGAAGGAGAGGTGAAGTGAGCAGTTTCCAGCAAGAGGTTTGTGAGGCAAAGTGACAGGGCAGTGGCTTCTCAGCAGGTGTCTTTCCAGAACATGATAGGACCTGGCCTTGGTGGTGTTTGTGCCTTTGGAGTCTGCCTGTACTTGCTAAAGAATCTGGGGTACTGTCTTTACAAAGCTATTTGGCAGAACCCTGTTCTCACAGAGAAGGGCTGTCCTGTTGGCAGGTTATGAACAATTGGATGGTCTAAAGGGAAGCCCTCTTTATTCCCACCCTCATGGAAGAAAAAGTGAAATCAGTCATTCATGCCTACGCCGGTCTGTCTTGTGCCTGGATCTGGGAACATGTGAGTTTGAGAAAGACAAGGGTAGCATGGAACTGTGAAAAGGAGGGAGTCGGTCCTGCTAAGGATCAAAAACAAATGTGACTCAGCAAGGTGGTCAGGGAAATAAGTACTCTTTGTGTTCCCAGGAGCCGCACCCTCCACACCCTTGCTGTCAGTTAAAGTTGACCAAATTTGTGTCCCAGCAACGTCTCCAAGTGCAGGTAATGCTTGGCTGGCCCAGTACCTGCAGTGATAGTGACATCTTCCTGACTGAAGTCCTCTACCCAGCCTCCCAGTACCCTCCACTGAAAGGCTTGCTCTCTTTTCCTCCCCTTTACCTCTCATTACCTGCCCCCCCCTCCTACCCCCCCCCCGCCCCGCACCACTGCCCCTGCCTCTGTTCTGGAGGAGCCATTAAGCAATAATAGAATTCATACTTCCTGCAACTCCACCTGCCACCACAGACCCTGGCCAGAGCCTGCTCTCGACAGTCATCAGGGTGTCACCCGGATCAGAGCCTTCCTCTGTCATGCCTTTGTGCACTGCCAGCTCTCTGTCCAACCTGCAGTTTTGTGTTACCCCTCTATCCTCCATCGAGGAAGAAGACACAGGAAGCCTGGCCGTTTGCATACCTGCCCTTTATTGGACACAGCTAGCAGCCTGGCTCTAAGCCCTTCACATTTCTCAGACACCACCCATAAGGTTTAGGAGGGTGCCATCATTCTGTGAAGGCCCAGAGCCAGCCAAATCTTGGAGCTCCAAGTAGAATCACCAAGGAGAAGGTTGGGTGAGGGAAGGGAGACAGGTGGCCTGGAAGGACAAGGCTCTTCAAGAGGAAGCTTTTGCCCAGCAGTGCCTCCTGTGGGCACACTGAAGCCTCAGGAAAGATACCAGGGGCGGGATGGGGTAGATCTGTGTGCTGAGCAGCTCCTGTCTATATGGCAACTTTGAGGAGACGCTTGATGTCAGGCTCAATGTTGATGGTAGGGAAGGTACGGCTGTAGCGGCGGAAGGGCTCCCCCTCTGGCCCAATAAGGAACTTCTCAAAGTTCCAGGCCACGTCGGAACGGCGCACGGGGCTCCAAATGATGAACTTGGGGTCGGTCATGAGGGAAAATGGGTCATCATAAGGGTAGGGGAGCTTGTCCTTCAGGTAGGCGAAGACAGGATGCTCCTTCTGACCATTCACCTCACACTTTTGGACAAGAGTAAAAGTGGGCTGGAATCCACCCCCGGGGCGGACATACTTGAGACTGTTCAGGATCTCCTCATTCTGACAGTTCTCCTGGGGGAGGAAAAAGACAAAAAGCATGGAAGAGGGAAGGGGGAAATAAAAGATCCACGAAAACCTTTCACCCTCCTATAGTCCCTTCCCAGGACCATACTTCTCTGTGTAGCTCCCCTGCGTCCCCTGTTCTTTTTCCTTCTTCCCTAGCTTTGCCCTACTCTTGACTTAGAGATTCCCCGTTCAGAGCTATTGTTTGATGGTTTTCGAGGCCATTCCTGAAAATTCTTGCAGTTCCTAGCTTGGCTGTTCTTACAGTGAATGATTTAGCAATTTTGAACTGCTGCTTCTCTCTCTAAACTACCTTGAACAGTTCTTAGGATATCTGTCTGAAACTCCAAGGTACCTTGAGTTCAGGGCAGTAGAAAGAAAGGAAAAAAGAGGCTCAGGTGATGCCATCTAGAACCCTCACCCCCCCACACACTCACACACACACTCACACACACGTCCAGGCAAACCTTCCCCTTCCCTCTGCTCTGATTTTGCCTCTGTTGTTTCTGATTACATGTGAGTGTTGAGTATAGCCTCTGCCTTTCATTTTGCCTTTTCCTCGATCTGAAGTGTAAGTGGGAGGAAGCTTTCATGAAGAAAGGCCCCATCCAAGGAAATCTAGCTTTCAGGTGCTACAAAGGCAAAGTAAATTAGAGATGACAGTGGATGTATGCTAAATGGAATTGCTTAGTGACCGGTAGGGATGATTTAACAGGATAGAGTGTTTAGGATTCTGAAATAGGCCAAGAGAAGGAAAGCTAAGTGTGTACTTGAGGACTGCCATTGTGAATGTGTAGTTAGCATTCCTTTTACTTCCAGACTGCTCTCCCAAGACTCCTCACACTGACTCACTAGACTCAGCTGTGAGGACTTTAGCTCTGAGCCTGTTACCTATCTTTCCCTCCCCCTTGCCATCCCTGTCCTATCCCTACTTGGCATTCTCCACCCCTGAGAACCCCAAAAGGCCCATGGAAACCCTTATTTTCCACCCCTTCCCCTGAGTCTAAGAGTCAGATTTCTCCTTGTGGGAGAAAGTTCTTGCCTCTGACGTACTAGAACCAATCAGTACAGCCAGTTCCAGGCCATCAAGACATCTTGAGCCCAAAGGTGATCTCTATTAGACTCCTTATCTCTTAATGCAGATGGCCAGCAGGCTACCGATAGGTTACAAATTCCCTCCAGCCACTAGCTAGCCTGATGGTGGAAGGGTGGAGACACCTCTGGGGCGGAAGAGACACCCCTCAAATGGTTTCACCCTTTCTCTCTCCAGGGCTGGCCAAGCCTAGAAACAGACTGAGACAGGGAAGCCAGAGCGACAGCAGTGATGGTCTGGACTCCGGTTTGTTACAGCCAATGACACTTCAGCCTTCCCGCTGTGTATCTGCCTATCAATTCCTTGCCATCACGCCACTGTGAATTGAACTGAGGGGGTTATAATTCGAGGGTTCACTTGAGGACATTCTGTCTGCTGGTGCTGTTAAAATAATAAGTGAATATAGAAGAATCCCTGAAAGAGAACTTGAGGTATGTGGGCTGAAGATCTAGAACTTGACCCGGTAATCAGAGACAGAGATTTGATCCCTGTGTGGAACACACACACACACACACATACACACACACACACACATTCCCCCCCCAACCAAAAAAAAAGGGAAGAAAAAAATCAGAGACAGGTGCACATGACACCCAGAGGAGACCCGTGTGCATTGAGCACCCTGAGCTTTCCACCAAAATCACTCTCCCCTTGGCTGATTTAAAACAAGAGTCCTTTGACCTAAATAATACAGTTGCATTTGCTTTCACTTGCATATTACTTTATATTTTCCAAGGTTTTTTTTGGCATATCTTACCCTCTGAACCTCACAATTATCCTGTGAGATAAGTGGCATTATCCCATTTACAGATGAGGAAACTAAAACAGATAAATCAAGTGACTCTTGCATGGGCACAGAGCCACGGAAGAGCAGAACAGAACCATGTCTAGCTGCAACTAAGGTCTCCTGGGTCAGCTCAATCCTAGTGTGAGTGTTGATCGTCTATTTCCTTCCACTCATCCTCTCAGCGGGTATTTAACAAGTGCATTCTCCACCGTGGACAGAAAAGCAGACGCGGTACCAGCCCTCCTGGAGCATAATGGGAAGACAATAAACATTTGCCCCACCCTCTGTACTGAAGCCCAGACAGTTAGAACCCCATGTACTTCCCCTTGGTATTCACCTGTATCCAAAGACCTAGATTAACAAATAACTCCGATTCCAGACGCTCCGACACACACAGTCACTCTCCATCCCCCCTTAGCCTACCAAAGCTTCAGCACCCCAACTCCTTGGGTACATTACAAGGCACCCCTCACCTGATGTCCAAATTGGTTGCAAGGGAAGCCAAGAACCACCAGGCGTCTGGGGAAGCGGCATTGCAATTCGTTGAGCTGGGTGAAGTCCCGGGTGGTCGTGCCTCAGAGCGAGGCCACGTTCTCAATCAGCACGGCCCTGCCTCGGAACGTGTTGAAATCTACCTTCTCCCCGTCCAGGCTGACGGCACTGAGGTCGTAGAAGGACTTGGCTATGTAAGCCATGGTGAAGGGGCAGAGTGAGGCGTGCAGAGTGGCAGCAGAGTGGCGGCAGCCCACTTCAGGGTCTGTTATAGGGCTGGGGAGGAAGGAGGAGCCTGGAAGGACAGCAAAGATTTCACAATGGGGCTTTGAGCATCCCCAGGATGACTTAGCAAAAAAACGGTCACCCACCTGGAGGTGCTGTTTCAACAAGGAAGTGGCTCCTCCTGTTTACAGACTCTGAACAAAGCCACCTACCTGCCCCACCCTGCTGGCAACCCGGGAAGGGCCAATTTGATATCTATGTACAAACATGAATAATTCACTCCTTGCAGGAAACTAGAGCCCCAAAGGTCAAATGGGGAGGAAAAAAGGGAGGGAGGGATGCAGGATTGACTCCGACTTGCCCCAGCAAGTCGTTCTCACTTGGCACAGACACGCATTGTCGGCTGAAGGCCAAGCCGTGAACTGCGCCATTGAGAGGTCAGGGTCTGCCAAGATCTGAAAGATGAGGAAGAGAACTGGGGGGCATGTCCCCTTAACTCAGACCACAACCAAGATATACATATGACGGGCGTGTAGTTTTCTTTGGCTGTTGTTTTCCACAAGCCTACAAGCACAGGGATCCTCAGAAGGACAGTGTGATTTTTCTGGAAATAATTGCTTTCAGGGGGCTCAGCCAGGCTGAAGAGATGAAGTTTGTCTTGGAAAGTCTTCCAGTGAGTGGTGCTGCTTCTGCTGGAGAGCTGCTCTGCCCTTGGCCCTCTGCATGGCACCGACGTCCACACCGTGTCCTCCACTCTGACTCCATGGGCTCGTGAGGAGGCGTCAGTCGTGGCCGGGTGATGATGAGGAGCCACAGAGCAGGTGAGTGACCCCCAGGGCACGAGCTACACTTGCCTCCTCTCAGACAAAGGCTCAGTCCCCAAGACTTCTCCCGACAGGCTTGCGCCGCTCCTCCTCCCCACCCCACCCCAGAAGGGAACATGCAGGGAGTCAAAGCTTGGATGGTTCTAAACCCGGCTGACCTGCCCAGGTTTTCAGCACAGCGGTGCAGCATACTGTGTGGCCCATCTGAGGACCCAAGGGAAGGCCTAGTGCTTCACTTCATTATTCCAAGCACCCAGCAGCTCAAATAAATCCGATTAAAAAATAAATAAATAAAAGAAGTCTGGATTTCTTCATCAGTAAGACTGGTGATTAGCCCTGACCTGGCTCTGGGACTTTTGGGAGTGTTATTTCAGTAACAATGCAGATGTTTACTAGAGAGTGTTTTCACAGGTACGCATCCATTGGGAACTGTCTTCTAGAACCAAGAATAAGCAAGGCTTGGGAGCAGCTGGTATTGAGAATCTGATTTGCTGAGAAGATGGAGGAACTACTCACCAGGGAGTAACCAGCTGTTCTGTCTTCTGTAGCCCGTTCCATGGCTGTTCATAACACTTGGGAACCCATGTCCCCACTGGCTGCTCCCTCAAAACAAGCCTCCATTACTTGAGTGGGAATGGAATCTTTGGCCATTAAAAGAGGTGGCAGGAAATGCAGCATGAAGTGTGTCGCCCAATGTGTCCAGGTAAAGTTCCTAAAAACAGCCAATAAACGTCCCTACCAGGCCACTGTGTCAGAAGAACTTGGCCCTGACAGTACGCTAAACTTCAGCACGAACTTCTCAGACTTACCTGCAGGCTGAGAGCTTCCAGGACTTTCGGGCATCTGGACACCTCTTACTGGCTGCCCTTCGGGGGCCTCTGTCCAGGATGACCATGGAAGTTCCTGAGCTGGGGACTCCCTCTCCTTCAGGGACACGCCATCCCTTTTCTCCAAGAACAACTTAGGACTCTCTGTCATGCAGGTTCTCAACTTTCATGATTGGAAAAACCTCTCTTAAAATACCTTTGTCTCCAACTTTACCTCAAACTGGCTTTGAGTTCCCAGAAGTTATTACTTTGGACATGCACTAACAGGTGTGTGATTCCCACGGCTTTCCACAGGGACGGTTGTTCTGGAAACTGCACTGGCTTAGTACGCAAAAAATCTAGGGTCGTGGTTCTCGACTCTGGCTACAGATGAGAATTGCTTATCGAGATTTTTCTAAATAGATGTTGCTAAAAGCTCTTCCCTCCAGAGATTTCAGTTCCGATGTCTCCGGCCATGACTCTGCCACGGTTACTTGAGGCCCTTAGGCACGTTTCCTTACCAGCCAACTTTGTGTCATCACCCTCCTTATCTCCCACAGATATGATTGTTAGGATGGAAGGGGTGGAGTACTGTAAGTTTTCCATAATCTGTAAAGCACGGGTTAAGATCTTAGGCCACCATTGACGTCTTGTTTGTCTCCTTCCTTCCTCATTCTATCCTGACTCCAGTTTTCTGCCTCTTCTCTCCACACCCCCTAGTATTTGGCAACCCCCAGGCCCCCAAGATTACAGTCTGCCTTGCTTCCCTGGAGTACCGGGTCACAGGGCTAGGACAAATTTCTGAAAGATTTAATCCTCCTCATGCCTCCAGGGAGACCTGTTCCTGTTCCGTCTCAGATGGTGGAGAACCTTCTTGGTTCTCAATACCTCAGACATAGGTATTCGGCATCCTGCCAGTGACACCATCTTTCTGCTCCTGTAGGCCCACTGCAGAGCACTGGGGGGCTTTGCTGGGGCTCCCCTGCAGGTGACGTTGGGAAAGGTACAGTAAGGAAGAGGACAGCTTGCTGCTTCCACTGTCATTCTCCTGCTCTTGCTTTATAATGTTCTGGAACCTTCTCCCAGCACTGCCTCTTCCTCTCCCCCTTAACTGCCAAGGGCCAATCGAGAACTCCTCCTAGGGACTCATATAGGCAGGCACACCTGTGGTTTGAAATATTCTTTATTTTGTAAACATCTGTGTTTAAAATAGATGAACCCTGCTCACAATTCATATATTGGACCCAAGACACAGTACACGAAGTTCACCCATCACAGGGAGATGGTGGGGGCTTGGGAGCAGGTGGAAATGCCTGGGGCTGGGCTGAGTCTCGAGACAGCAGGTGCAGAGGTGGTGAGGAGTAAACAGGCAGGAGCGCCTGCTCAACAGTCTGGGCCTAAGGCCAGACCCCAGGCCACCCCCCCCGGACTGGAGAAGTGTAGGGGTGAGATGCCGACTCCCAATACCTAGTGAGCGTAGCTGACCCTAGAGCTCCAACCCTCCCATACCTCTCCCCAGCTGTGGCCCTGGTGGGTGGGGTTCATCGGTGCATAAATCTCCACCCTGTGTTTTCCCTTCCAGAACCCCTAGGTACAGTAAAAATTAGTTCCTCTGTCCCGAGGGGGCTGGGAGAGAAAGGCAGTGGTGCTCTGCCTGATCTTCAGGGAATACTGCAACACGGGTCACAGGTTGGAGCCAGCACCCAGCACGTCTGCTTTCTGAAGCCCCTGGCTTCCCGAGGTCTGGCGTTACCGTCACCCCAGCCCTGGCATGATGCTGTGTCTTGCTTGACACCCGAGGAGTCAGGTCTCAAGGAAGCATCCCAGCCATAGTCATGACTTCATCCTAAAGAGTCTGCTATCTAAGTTTCTCATCAGCTAACAATTTATAACTATTCCCACCCTCCTTTTCCTTCCACTGTTAGCCTGTCCCTGATCCTACATCCTGAGCTACCCTCTCACACTCTGGTAAGAGTCAGAGGAAAGGTTTGGTGATTTCTTCCCCACCTTTTTTTTTTTTTTTTTTTTTTTGGAGTAATAAGGAAGTGGGGCTCTTAATCCTGCACATGTGTGTGCCCTGGACTTTGAAGCTCCATTGGTGAACGTTCAGGGCTCGAGTCTTTGTTTTAGCTCCAGCCCGAGCCGTAAGATGCAGCTAACACATAGCTTAAGAATGAGCCTCCAACGCCGGGCAGGTGGGGATGAACCCCACTAGGCCCCATCACTGACTTGTCCCTTCTTTAAAGCGCCTCCCTCAAGCCACCTTTGGGCCATGTTGGGCTAAAGAAACTTCTTCCTGAACAAAGAGCTCTGGAGGAAGGAGTCGGCTTCCCTCCCTCCTCCTGCAGCCACAGTGCGGTTGGCTCCTCTTCAAGAAGCTAGAGGGGCAAGATAAGCACTTTTTCTGGAAGGCTGAAGAGAACAGCACCAAGCATTTCTGCCCAGGGCCTTCTTTCTCCCTCCCCAGGAAGACCCTGCCCTTCTCCCGCAGACTTTCTCAGGAAAACCTTGAGCGCGGAAGGCTGGGTTCAGTGGTTACATCACCTTGCCAGGGGGTTGTGGGGAAATGCCCTTCCTACACAGAAAGGGAAGTTGCTCCCGTATTCCCCTCTGGTTTGCGAAATGCTGTCTCTGGCCTCCTCTCTCTGCCTTTCACCTGATATACAGGGGCTAGTCCTTCATTTCCAAACACTTCCCTTCCTGGGGTGTGTGGTTGGCTTGTCAACATCATTCCCACCCCCCTCCTCCCTTAAAGGCTTTCCTCGCCCCTGCAGTGCCCTGAGGCCTTGGTACATATCTTTAAATTCAGGAGCCCAGGTGGGGAGAAACTGTGTACACTGCATGGGAGGTAGAGAATGGAGGTGACCTTTTGTCCCTGCCTCCCCTCAACATTTTTTTTTCTTCTCTGAAGCACCTGCTTCTGAGCTCACTTTCCCCAAAAGGAAGGTGGGCAGGCAGCCAAGCAAGGCCAAAGCTGGGGGGCAGGGCAGGCAGGAAAAGGTGGGACAGCCCCAGTTTTGAGGACCACCAGTTTGGTCCTACTTTGATGTTCCACTTTCCCAGATCATGGATGGGGCAGGCCATGCCACAGGAAGGGACAGCGGGGAGGGGAAGATGGGAAGAAGCACCCCATAGGCTTTGGCCCCTTCACAAAGCAGGGTGGGGTGTTCTCCCAGAAGAAGAGTATGGAACATCCCCATGAGCCTGAGTCCATTCCCTTGGACAGGGTTAGGAAGAAAGGAAAGAAAAGAGCTGCACTGGCAGCCACAGAGCAGGACAGAGAGGGAAAGAGGTGCGAGGGGCTTTGATACAGAACACACTGGAGGGGGGAAGGGCACAAGAAAGAGAAGTAGGAGGAAGAGAGGAAAAGCAGAGAGGAGACAAGATGCACTGAGAAAGAAGGAGCCTTAGAGTGGCCTCACTGCAGACAGGGCCACTGTCTGGGGAACCTGGGGCGGCAAGACAGCACCCGGAGCACACCGGGGCTCATGGCAGGCCTGCGGTGGGGAGCCCGGCAGAAGGGAGCCCCTCCAGGCTGGAGGGCAGGGGACAGAGGCTGCTCCGAGATGACAGCGGGGCTGCTCTCGGGGCCAGGCAGGGGAGTAGCAGCTACTGGTATTCCACAGGGTCACCCGAGTGAGAGGAGAAGCAGGGCAAAGCCCGGACTCCCTGTCTGCCACAGGCCTCCTGTGGGGAGGGAGGGGTCGCTGGGTGCTCCACACAGGACCCTCAGCACCAGCAGGTTTTCGAAGAGTTCGATGGGCCCTCAGGTTTGCCCTCGTCCTCCTCCAGCTCGGTCAACGCCAACTCATGGCTGGCACGCGTCCTGAGACCATCCAGCTCCTTCCTGTGGGCCTGCAGCACCAGCTCCGTCAGCCGCGTGAAAGACTGCGAAACCACCGATGGCGGGTGAGCAGGCGCTGCTCCAGCCTCTTCCCCCTGCAGCCCTGTACCTGCCCCAGGACGAGGCCTCATCATGTGAACCGGGCTCACTCCCCCACCCCGGGCCGCCGCCTCCCCTCCTCCCTGCTCCCCTCTGCAACAATGGGCCACAGAGGCAGGGCGGCTGGGTTCGGGTTCGGGGCACTCACCTCTTTAATGTTGAGGTTGGTGCAGGCACTTGTTTCATAGAAGTCCATGCCATACTCCTTGGCCAGCTGCAAGAAAAGAACATTCCTGAAAGGGAGTCAGTAAGGGAAGGGAGGTGCCCACAGCAGCGGCCGTATTTCTGCCACAGCCCTCACAGCCCATGCTCAGCTGCGACAACTTCTCACAGCAGGTCATGTCTCAGAAGCCCAGAAACGGGCCAGCCAGGAATGGAGAAGATGCTCCACAAAGCCCCGCGGTCCTGCAGACACACCCCTGCCTGTGGCATGCACACGTCACCCATCAGGAGGCAAATGTCCCCCCAGTCTTGTGCAGGGTGTGGAATTAATGAAAAACGTGTCTTTGGGGTCAAACAGACCCAGACGTAAACGCCAATGCCCCACTCAGCAGCCATACGACCTTGGACAAGTTACGGACCTGCCGTCTGTTAAAGGGGGACGAGGGCGTCTCTCAGCCAAGGTCAGGGAATGACTAAAACAGGTCCTGCATCTCAAAGCACTCGCTTAGCACCAGCCATCCATACAGTGCTCGATAAATACTATTCTAGGAGGGTTTATTCTGGTAGGGTTTGCATCTACTTTCAGATTTTTCAATGACCCTGTATTATTTTTGTATGCCAAAAATCTATTTTATTTCAAGTGCTATGGACGGAAAGAGGGAGAAAAAAGCTCTGGAGGCCCTCAGAGTGGGTGGACGGCTCTCGTCTCCATGGCACCCATCCTTCTGTCCTCTGGGAGGGTGATGTCCCTCGGCACCACGTTCCT